TTGCAGATTACTCGTCATCCAGTGCCTTGGTGATCAAACTAGAAGCTTCGTAATCTCTCGCCTTTGGGTAAACTCTTTCCCCGACTCTTTTATCTTCATAGCGCTTCTCAATTGTGGCCTAGTAAATTCATGACGATCAAGTTGACGCTTCTCCGCTAAAGCATAGTGAATTAGAGAGTTGAGTGAGTGGACACTTCTAGTGATTAATCTCATTGTTAGTCTAGGGATATTTGTGTAAAAATCATTCATGTACGCAACGTTAGATTGACTTGATTGTTATATGATCTTAACTCTTACACGAGTGATTCAACCGTAAGCTTGTTTTTCCGATCTTAATGTTTTATCTCGTCGTTCAAATCATTATAAAGATATAATTATTTGTTCTCTCTAAAATTAAGCGTGCAAATTCATTATGAAACTCATCTTTGCATGTACGTTTCACATCAATTAATCTTATAAATTCATTGCTAAAACAAGCTTCTTATTAAAGTCTTGCAATTTTGTTGTATCTTTCATATCATGATTGATTTCTTTGTGGAAAAAAATGGAGAGATTGGTGATGAATATTTGTGGTGCAACAAAAAAAAAACACACACACAATTTAAGATTGCAAACTAAGAGTCTTCCTTACCATAAACATAGACAAACACATATATAACATCATAATACTAGAACACAACAACTTACAATTTATATTAATTAAGAGAAGAAAGATACAGATAGGGCGTGAACCGTGGATAGAGAAGAAGAGGTAGAAAACCGAGACAAAATAAAAGAGGGAAAGGGGAAAGGAGGCTAGCTCGCAGGCTAGAATAAAACCAGCAGGTTACATTCCAAAAATCATCACATGCTCTTTTCTTTTTTGCAGAAAATAGCTCCTTATATAGGAGGAAAAAAGGGAAAAAGCATTTAATGCAATGTAATTAAAGCAACACTCAAACAGGGACCGAAGGTACAGCAACCTAGGGAAAATGAAGCATCAATACAATAGCCAATGGGCACATAAACTGAAGGGACAGCCGCTCAAACCGAAGTAACAGCTGCCAAGAGGAAAAACCTAGGAAAAATAAGGCCCACGAAGAGACAACCCAACAACCAATGAACAAAAACTGGACGGACAGAGCACCTTCATTGCATCAATTCTCCCCTAGTGGAGAATTCTCATATCCTGATGAGATCGTCAGCATAGAAGGTTGTCTTTCACCATCTACAGACTCCTTGGCATTTTGAGGTGGAACTTCAACCTGTTGAGTGTTTGGCTTTCCATTTTTTTTTTTTTTTTTTTTTTTTTTTAAGGAAGACATGACCTACAACCTAAATCTCTGATAGAGAAGAACACACACACAAACACAATTTAAGATTGTAAACAAAGAGTCTTCCTTTTCATACAAACACAATTTGTGCAACAAAAAAAAACACACACAAACACAATTTAAGATTGTAAACAAAGAGTCTTCCTTTTCATAAACGTAGACAAACACATATATAATATAATAATACTAAAACACAACAACTTATAATTTATATTAATTAAGAGAAGAAAGATACAGATGGGGCGGGAACCGTGGATAGAGAAGAAGAGGTAGAAAACCGAGACGAAATAAAAGAGGGAAAGGAGAAAGGAGGCTAGCTCGCAAGCTAGAATAAAACCCGCAGGTTACATTCCAAAAATCATCACGTTCTCCTTTCTTTTTGCAGAAAAATAGCTCTTATATAAGAGGAAAAAAGGGAAAAAGCATTTAATACAAGGTAATTAAACAACCACTAGAAACTCCTCAAAAGTTGCAACAAACAGGGATCGAAGGGACAACAGCCTAGGGGAAACAAAGCATCAATACAGCAGCCAATGGGCACATAAACTAACGGGACAACTACCCAAATCAAAGGGACAGCTGCCAAGGGGAAAAACCACAGGCTACAAAATCTGAGACTGTTTTCAGATTTCCTTTTCTGGAGAGCCATCCCCTAATCTCACTCTTCCCTAAGCCGTGACCAAGGGGAGGAATTTTCTGCTAGCACACCACTATTATCCAACCTCTGTTCATCCACGAGGAGTTGTCCAGAGAGCTACAGCAAGTTCTTTTGCTGTCCCAACGTCCAGGATTTCATATTTTGCTGTCCAGAAGGAATTCCAGCTAGCTTCCCTTGCTGCCCAACAGTCCGGCAACTCCCGTATGCTGCCCAAGTTATTTCCAACAGTGCAGTTTGCTGTCCAGGGAAAATCTGCACCTGTATCTTGCTGTCCAGTCAATTGAAAGGTCTTCAAACACTGCCCGGACGTTTCAAATTGTTAACCACGCTTTCAAGAAGGTTCATGGATGCCACCTACTTCCTTCCAAGCCTCCCTATAGCATCCGGAACTTCGTATCTTCCGATTATTTGGGTAAACTCTCCTCCAAATCTTTAATCTCTTAGTCGCTACTCAATTGTGGTTTATAAGTAATTCATGAAGGTTCATGCCATTCTCTCCGCTAATGCCTAGAAGTTGAAAGAGTTGAGTGATGGGCGTCTCTTAGTGACTAAACTCATTGTTAGTTTAGGAATTATCGTTGAACACCTCTCACGTATGAAACATTAGATTAACTTGATTGTTTTCTGATCTCAACTTTTACGCGTATGATTCGGCCTAAGCTTTTATTTTACCGCTCTTTGGTTTTACTTAGTCGTTTGAAATCACTTTAAAGATTTAATTATCGTGCTCTAAATATTAAACGTGCAAACTCCTTAATTTACTCATCCTTGCCTGTACGTTTCACATCAGGTTGTGATCACACTATCCAGAGTCTCAAAACAAAGGTTTAAATAGGTATCATCGAATCAGTTTAAACTTCACTATGAAATCCAAACTTTCACCCTTCCTTTTGTGATGTAGATCTTAATTCCTTAAATGCTAAGCACATATAATATTACTCTGCAGTCTGCCCACAGCCATCTTCCGAATAACATCCCATAAACCACTTTTAATGACGTTAACATCTTTAACTGCTCCAATAAAAGAAACGTCACTGAGCTATATTAACTAAGTACCTGTTTCAAATACACAAAAAAACAAATGATGTCAATTAGATTTAGTTTGTTTTCCAATTCTTATTTGGCATTGATTGCATACTTGAGGCTGGTGCTAGAAACACAACATGAAAACTGTGCCTGTAAGCTTGATTTCCATATGGACCTTACGCATCCAACCAGTCTGTTTGTGCCAGTAATTAATTGATCCAACAAGCACTCCAATTTAAAATGTTGAACAGAAAATTTCTCCTAAACTAATCAAAGGGTAGGAAATAAGAAAATGTATCCAACGTGTTTACTTCATCAAACCACATAAAAGAAGCATAAAGAACTCATGTTTGAAAGAACAACAGAATTTGACAAAAAAAAATTATAATTATAATTGGTTCATCTCATGGAAAGGAAAAGGATACCTTCCTAATGGCAACCAGATACTTTATCCCAAGGAGACAACCATGCCGTACCTCCCATTCTTGTCTGCACTGAAAAAAAAAAAAGAAGAGATGATAAGATAAAAGACACAAAGGGCTTCAATTTGCAATAACCATGAGATGCTGAATAAGCTACCTGCATATGTAATAAAATCTTCAATGTCTCTATAACCAGTGAAGGATGCATGTACTTTAAAACCACTCCAAGAGCTTGAGCACAAGTCTCCCGAACGGGTGCGACAACTTGATCAGCAACATAATCACCAAATCTACAAGGAAATGTAAAAATCAAGTTTAATACTAAATCATATGATATGGGTATAAGGCAGGCACGAGAAAAAAAAAAGTTTTCAAAATCAAGCTGAGAAAACTAATTTAGTTATCCAGAAAAAGATCGTATAGATGGCAGACTGCGTTTTAAACAACAACTCACCGATCCAAGGAGAGTATACACAAAAATCTGATGGCACAATCTTGCAAAAATTCCCAGTTCTTTATCCAGGAATACCTCGCTAGTTTCATTAAGTTCGTGAGTTTGGAATTCTTAGGAAGATTTTTTATTAAATCAAAATTCGAGATAAAGCAGCTATCTTCAAAAGATGATCCAAGGGAAGCAGCATCATCCACCTTGCAGTGATAATTAAGTCCATCAGGAGATGGCTCCAATTCCACCTTAACATGAGTGCCAACAACAGCTTCGTTTACCAATGTAGGATTAACATTGAGCCCTGCCACTGTGCCCATACTAGTGCTTTGTTTAATTTCCCCATTAACAGAATCTAAGGAACAAAGTTTATTTTCTGGATAACTTAGTTCATTCCCAGACTTGTGCCTTTTTAGCGCAGGCTCATGCTCATCCGCTGAAAAATGAACATTTAGATCAATTTCCCTGGAATTGTTAATTGGTTCCTCGCACTTTATTTCCTCTAAATCACCAAACAAGGACTTCTCCAAGTTAATATCCAGAGACAAGACCCCAGCACAGGAACCATGATGAGTCAGAATTTCTCTTAGAGCCATAATGGACCCGTGACGAACTTCCCAGACTGTATACCAACACAAGCAAGATAGTGAATAGGAAAATATAAATTAAATTTGTTCAAAAAATAGAGAAATTCATGCACCACCCGAAAAAAAAAAAAACTTACTGGGATCAAACATATCATGAATGAGTTGTTCCACAAAATGCTGAAAAGGCCATCTACCATCCTCATCAAGTTCATCTTTATCTAACTCAATAGATGCATCCACAAATCCCTGTAAAGAAAAAAAAATTGCATTTAATTAAATTATCTTACTACAAAAACAAAATAAGTACAGATGCAAGGAAAAAAAAGAAAATCATAGGTTTTAAAAAAATAATGATTAGGCTTGAATATTACCTATTCTGTTTTAGCATGCTAAAACTCAATGCCTCTGATTTATTGGCTTAATAAGACAAATTCTCATACGCTAAATTTATTAGTTCAGAGAGATGATAAGATAATTTGCCGAATCGCTCAGGCACAATGGAGCAAATTCACCAGCAAAAGAAAGAAAGAAAAATACCAAAGAAAATCCAACTTACCTCTTTTCTGCTAACAAGCAATGACCAAACTACATATTGGGACACCGATAGCTCCAGCTGAAATTGGCATTTATTTTACAGGATAGAAAATTATGCCTAAATGAAATTGTGGCAGCTCTTTGGAAAGCAAAGCAGTAAAAAATCCTTAGACTAGAGAATTGGTCAATCCTTATACTTGGGAGGTAGTTAACAAGAATTTAAAAAAAGTTAGTTCGAATTTCAAACTTAGAGAAGATTTTCTCTCCTAAATTTAAGAAAATTAGTCTAAACTTCCAAATTTTAAGGAGTTATTCCCTCATTGATTCTTTCATTTAGCTAAGATTTTAATTTTTTTGTATGATAAATAGATATATTCCGAATTTCCGATCACTAAAAAACCAAATTTCAAATTTTCATATTCAAAATCTCAAACTCCATCTCCTTACCATTTTTCTCTCTTCCCCTGGTTGACAACTCCAAAAGGCTAAGCTAAACTGAAACGGGTCAGCCTCTTGACACACACACTCCCTCTGTTCAGGAAGTACCAATAATCTAGAAGGTTGGAAGAAGCGCCGATCAATCAAACTTCAGTTCGGAGGCTCGATTATCCAAGTCATTTCCGAAAACATGTAATTACCATAAGGCTAACATATTGCCATTCATTTGGCACTTCGAGTTTTCGATCACAAGTACTTGCAATATATCTTCTCAAGATATAAAAACTACATGAAAATTATTCTTTCTCGCTAAATTTTTCATCAATTACAGTAGCACTAAAATCAAGTCCTTAGTTGATAATTTTGTCATAAACCAAAATGGTTATCCAATATGAACATAATTTTTTTTGTAATTATGCTCGATTAACCTATTTGACAACTTTAATTTCATCAGTTTGATCCACATATCATTACCATAATCTTGAACATCTCTTTTTTTTTTCTTGAATATTGGTACCAATGCACTTGACATTCTCTTAATCTTCAAAAGTCATAACGGTTTATTTATCAACATGCTCTAATATCAAACCATAACTCTACAAATTTCAATAATTATCTCAAACAGAACAATAGCTTTATCTCTTATGCATCTTTTCAATTGACAATACTTCACTTTTTTAACATCAATCTAAAACATATCTCATTTTATGTTAATTATGCTCTTCCAAAAATTCTTGAGAAATGTTTAATAATTTCTCAAAGTAGAATTTACATCTTTTATTAATGACTTCATCTTTAACACTTTATTATCATCAATTAAAATTCATCTTATCAAATCAATGTCCAAAGATCTCATATCTACTATATGTCATAAATATATTTATAATTACTTATAGCATATTATATTAAAAAAACAAAACCTATAGCTTTTGCTTTGCTCACTACCCTCTTTAGAAAACTTCTAGCTTACTTATGGTAGTAGAAGACTCAATAATAATCTAAGAGCATTTCATTGTCACTCCAACAAAGCACTTGTACATTGCTACTCCATAAAAGTATATTTCTTTCGCTTATAAATTTTTCTGCCACTTTATTCCATTATGAAGTCTCTTTACTTGTGCATGATTCATTTCTAGTTATCTTATCCCACGCCAAATTCTATTCAACTACAGCAATTGAATTTGCTACACTAAACAATAGATCTTAAAAGGTTAAGAACACCTCACCATTTAAATTCCATCATCTTACATTAGGGCAATGTTCCCTTTTGATAGTTTTCACTATTCTCTTAAGATATACAGTAAAAACTACAATTTTATATTATGTGTTCAAACTAATATAAGCAATCATACAAATGACAAAACCTAACCACATTCCCAGGCAGCATAAAATGCTAAATTTTAAGAAAATAGCTTTCAATAATTTTCCAGAGTGATGTCAATCTATTATAGATCCATGACCAACAAGTAAAGGTAAAACTACTTTTCTTGACAAATAGCACTTAGGAAAGATTTTACAAAATGCCTTGCACAACCTTGTTAGCTGCGGGTTTATCTGAAGTCCCTCTAGATGCCACTGGATATTGGGAAGCTGACACCTCAACCTCCTCATCCTCAGACCAGCATTTTGTAAGATCTTTTGCATTGACTTTTGCTTTTCTTTTTAACAGATTCAACTCCCTTGCACTTAACCTTCTAGGACGAAAGCCAGGGACCATGGCTGCCACCAACTGCTGGATACTTTGACCAGATCTGGTAACATGATATCCATTATTAGGTCCATTGCCCCATGAGTTACCCTTTTGAGTCAGAAGGTCCTCATCCTTAATCATATCACTAACATCCATAAATTGCTCACAAACATCTAAACCTGCATACAAGCATGCAAATTGGTAAGAAAAAGTTACAACTTATTGTACCAAATAAAAGATAATATATACTGGGATATTGCCATATGTCTGACTTGAAGGAGGATACCACATAACAGGACATGGCAAATAATGCCTACATTACCTATTAGATGGAAGATGGATGGATAGATAATTAGTCGTAAACAATTGAAAAGGTAAGTAATGAACAATGCAGAACTTGGAAAATAAAATGCTACTACTACAGGAATCATAACATAGGACAGATACGGAAGTATAAATAATGGGATATGTCAAACCTCTAGAAAAAGTAAGGTATGCATACTCCAGCAAGCAAAACTAGCATGCCCAAGCATACACAAGACAAAAACGCCATATGATGTCCGTGCATTAATACATACACATCACATGACAGATGGATAGAAACAAATGCATGCCTGCGAAGTGCCCAACGATTACTACAACAACAACATCAAGCCTTTATCCCACTACATACACGAAATCTTTTTCTCCATTATGTCTACTTAAGAGTCAAATTTCTATTTAAATCTAAAAAAAATGTTATTTCTAATATTTTCTAATCAAGTCTTTTTAGGTCTATCTCTATCTTTCTTACCATAAGCCAAATCTAATACATTTACTCTCCTAACCGGGTCCTCGGAAGGCTGATGTTTTATACGCCCAACTACAAAAATACAAATTAAAAATGAATCCATACATCCTGCGCGTCAAAACAAAAAATGCAGGCTAATTTTTACATGAGATTTTTACACAAAATTGTATAAATACATAAATTTGTATTACAAAAACAGCCATGCATCCACGCCATGCACGTATACAAGCTAAAAAACAATATCATGAATGTACATATACAGCAATACTGTAGATAACTGTGGGCAGAGAATTTAAAAGATAAATAAAAACATTAGAAACATGTACTTTTCTATCCATTTCTACTTCACCAAAAAAAAAAAAAAAAATACATGCCAATGATTGGATACAGGCGGCACTTGTATCCAACATAAGCAGTTGAGATTGCGCTTGCAATAGCAAAAAGCTGGTGGCTGGTGGCAGAAAGAAGAATCTTGCTTCTATTTTAAGATGCACGAATGATTTGATTTTAGATCTACTCAAATGAAAACCTTTATACTCTAAGGTTGACCTCCATAATTCAAGTTACCTTCAACTCCCTCTCTAGTCTTATCAACAAGAAGAATTTCATTAGCAAAAAGCATACACCAACCAAGAAACAAAATTAAAGATTGAACAAATAAATTTAAATATTAAATTTTTCATAGAAATAATATTGTTGGTTTTAAAATTAGAATTTAAATTTAAAAAAAAAATGACTTGCCTAATGTGATAGGTAAATTGATGCGGACATCTAATCATGAACATTTTCAAAGGAGGAGACGACGTTCGACAGCCGAGATCATTCCACCCTATCTTATTTTGTTATTTGTAATTTTTATTTTTATTATAAATTTTTCGTTTTTACTCTTACTTAAGAGGGTCGTCTTATGTAAGCCCTAGGGGTATATGTGTCTTGTTTTAGTTTCTTAGGCATATATATAGAGGCCCTTGCTTGTGTAATGTAATATTTGATGATTAATAAAATTTTGTGTTTACACTTGTGTTTTTTGGAAAGAACCTTGGGTGAGATTCCTATGAGAGGAATTTGTAGTTTCCGCCAGCCGCAGGATGGGTCCGGGCTCGTGGCTTGAAGTCCATTGGAGAAGGGCAAAGTAGTACCCGCCAGCTGCAGGATGTGTCCGGGCTCGCGGTTATATCTTTCTTTCCCTAAATCCTTTTCTCCTCTTCCCTTGACCGCCGGCCAAAATCCACCACTTTCCACAGGCCGATTCTCTCATAAACCCCTCTTCCACAAAATTGCCGGCCAGCTCCTTCCCAAGCCCCACTTCCCTAAAAAAAAAAATCTCTCTTTCCTTATTTAAGTTGTCATTAATTTGAAAAGATTTTAATTTAAATTAATCTAATTTGAATTTCAAATTCATCCTCACTAATTACCTTATTTTTGGTAACCTCCTTCATTCAATTAATTAATCAATTCCGAAATTGATTGATTAATTAATCCCTTAATTCCAATTTCATTTCATCATCATTACTTTCCTAAATTAGCTCCAATCTTATTTGGAAAGTTTTCGAATTCAAATGAATTTGAATTTTAAATTATTTCCTAAATAACATACAACTATTTTAGGAAATCCTTCAATCATATTAAATCTGGAATTATTTCAGATTTAACTCTTCAATCTCCCATTAATGCATGGATCCACATTAGGCCGGCCCCGCTCTCCCCTATTTTAATTATTTCCTTCCTTGTTAAGGAATTCAATTAGGGGAATAATTAACCACCTATTTATCCTTCCCTCCATCTTATTTGAATTTCAAAATGTAAATCCCTTGATTAGAGGAAATCTGAAATTTAATTTCAGATTTTTAATCTTATTATCTTCCCCCCTCCCTCCGTTCTACATCAGTTTGGTATCAAAGCATGGTTACCCGGGGTGCGGACTCGACGGAGTCGAACTCTTTTCCACTCCGGGAGAATGATGCGAACATCCGATCATGAATATTTTCAAAGGAGGAGACGAAGATTGATGGCCGAGATCATTCCGCCTTATCTTATTTTGTTATTTATAATTTTTATTTTTATTATGAATATTTCGTTTTTACCCTTACTTAAGAGGGTCGTCCTATGTAAGCCCTAGGGGCATATGTGTCTTATTTTAGTTTCTTGGGCTTATATATAGAAGCCCTTGCTTGTGTAATATAATGTTGGATGATTAATAAAATTTTGTGTTTGCACTTGTGTTCTTTAGAAAGAACCTTGGGTGAGATTCCTATGAGAGGATTTTGTAGTTTCCGCCAGCCGCAGGATGAGTTCGGGCTCGTGGCTTGAAGTCCCTTGGAGAAGGGCAACGTAATACCCGTCAGCTGCAGGATGTGTCCGGGCTCACGCTTGTATCTTTCTTTTAAAAATCTTTTTCTTCTCCTCCCTTGACCACCGGCCAAAACCCCCCACTTTCCACAGGCCGATTCTCCCATAAACCCCTCCTCTTCCACAAAATTACTGGCCACCTCCTTCCCTAGCCCCACTTCCCTCAAAAAAAAAATCCCTCTTTATTTATTTAAGTTGTCATTAATTAAGAAAGATTTTGATTTAGATTAATCTAATTTGAATTTCAAATTCATCCTCATTAATTACCTTATTTTTTTGGTAACCTCTTTCATTCAATTAATTAATCAATTTCGAAATTGATTGATTAGTTAATCCCTTAATTCTAATTTCATTTCACCATCATTACTTTCTTAAATTAGCTTCTATCTTATTTGGAAAGGTTTCGAATTCAAATTCAAATGAATTTGAATTTTAAATTATTTCCTAAATAACATACATCTATTTTAGGAAATCTTTCAATCATATTAAATCTGAAATTATTTCAGATTTAACTCTCCAATCTCCCATTAATGCATGGATCCACATAGTATGTGGACACCTTTCTTTTTCCCTCCACATTAGGCCGGCCCCGCTCTCTCCCCTATTTTAATTATTTCTTTCCTTGTTAAGGAATTCAATTAGGGGAATAATTAACCACCTATTTATCCTTCCCTCCATCTTATTTGAATTTTAAAATTTAAATCCCTTGATTAGAGGAAATCTGAAATTTAATTTCAGATTTTTAATCTTATTATCTTCCCCCCTCCCTCCGTTCTACATCATAAATATTAATTAAAATAATTATATTCAAATTGAAATGTGTGTCATATTCAATTTTAAAAAAATTTGACATGCATAATGTGATGGTTAGCTTTTAAATGTGTTTGAATTCAAATTCCTCACCCGTATGAGGCACTAAGTATCACCTCGTAATCAATTTGCCCTACTTTAGTATATATATAAAGATGTAGATATCTGACATCTTATCACACCATGCACTAGAACTATTTAGTGAAATTATCTTACAACTTACTTTGGGGATTATATTTACTCATTTCACACTCTGCAGCATGCAGCTCCCAATAAAAAATAGAATGACACTAGAGACAGCCATGAATACATTAAAAAAACTATGCCTTATATCAGTAAATCAGAGGAATAATTGTTTCTATAAAATAAACATATTATCGTTAATAAAAACTTACAATTTAAACATCGTCTTAAGCAGATTGCATAGTGCACATAACGAAGGAAAGCATTTTCAATTGTTAAATTATAGCAAATTATCACAGAAATAACGTTAAACAAAAGAAGACAGTACTCTCATTAAAACATGTAAAAATAAGAAGTGCATAGGCTAACCAAGGCGACGGCGAAGACTTTGCTTTTGACGAACCAACCTCTCTGCCGGAGTCTTGCTGCTATCATTTGTGACATCATATTCCTAAGGCCATACGATTTTCAATCAAACAAGCTTAACATTCAAACATTGAAATATCACGGCAAAAAGTAAAGGATTAGTTTTACAAACTGGTCGGTGATAAAATCAAGATGGGTACAAATAGATGCTTTAGACTAAACGCAACCACATGGTGAAGTACACAGTTGATCCGAAAATAATAATAGTGTAGCAAATATCTACCTATGTTTTCATCTAAGGATGGAATTTTCAGTGTGTGACAAGATTAAAGGCCTGAGACTGACTGATGTGAAACGTAATGCATGGAAACAAGAATTGCCTTTGAGAAATTAATAAGAGCGATGGAATTCATCTTGCTAATAATTAACTCTTTGCTTGCTCAAGATTGAGTTAAGAATTTGAGGTTGAGAGATTTAGCAACGGCAATAGATCACATGTAGAGATTACGGTAACTTGCAAAATAACTATCAAATATTTAAGTAATGCAAATAGCTAATGATAACAAAGCCCCAAATCTAAAATCTAGATCATTCACCTGGAGGTCCGTCACTCGTTTTGAAAGTGGTGGCTAGCGGAGGAGAATTGTAAGTAGGCTTAGCGATGCCACTAGTAGACAGGTGATGCAGAGGGGACTCGTCGCCGGGGAGGAGGCCGGAAGTGGAGAGGCCGGTGGGTGTCCGCGGAAGGTCCAATCGTAGTCTTCAAATTGCTCGTCTACGACATCCACGAGCGTAGGGAGGATGCGATTCAAATAGTCGTCGACGGTGTCATCGGGTCCAAACCCAACGTCGAAGAATGGCGAGCGTGTTATATGAATACTTCCGTAGACGTCGAGTACTAAACCACTATCCACTTCGGGATCCGCCATGCACCATTGCCCGGAGTAAGGTGGCATCCGAGAAGGAGAGCAGAAGGGGAAGGTGGCGGGTGGAAGTAGAGAGGGTGAAGTTATATGGGGGGGAGAGAAGAAATTTGAAATTTAATTTCAGATTCTTTCACAAGGGGGAAGAGAGGAATTGATTTCAAATTCCATATTTTGAAATCTGAAATTAAAATCCTGGAAAAACTGAAATTAAACTTGAGAGGGAGGGGTAATAAAGAGGTGTTTAAGTGGTGATGAGGTGGCAAGTAGAGAGAGAAACAGTAGGGGAAAGTGGCCGGCCATATGGGAGAGAGAGAGAGGCTTGGAATTAAATAGGTGGGGCCCAAGGTAGAATAAATACTCCTAATCAAATCTGAAATTTTAATTTCAGATTTAATTTGGGTTAAAGTAACCTCCCAAAATTGATTTGAAATGAGAGGGACAAGGAGTTTTAATTTCAAATATAGTTAAATGCTATTAACTGCATGCCTTAATGGATTATTAATTAGGCAATTAATCACACATCAGGATTTTGAAATTCACGGGCTGGGCAACAGGGGAATCCGGCGGCAAGGGCTGCAGGCAAATTCAGTGGGCTGGGCTCACGGTTTGGGCTGCCGGTTGTGGAGTTGGGGAGCGGTGGAGGGAGGGGGGGTTTTGGCTACATGGGAGGGCCATGGGCTGGCGGCCAGAAGCCTGGAGAGTGGCTGGCCGGCGGGAGGAGGAGCAGCCAAGGTGGCCGGCGGCTTGAGCAGCTCAGGTTAGGCGGCGGCAAATGCAAAGGGGAAGGAAGAGAGGGAAAATTTAAGGATTCAAGCGACCATAAAATTACTAACCTTAATTATCTTCACTTTCAATTTCCACAAGATTAGATAGTATGAAAACTAAAACTCACAAAGAGATCTAGTCTTCTCCGACGAACTCACTAAGAGATCTTGGAGGGGGGAACTCACAAAGAGAACAAGTAGTAAATTTTCATTCATCAAAACTAACTATTACATGAGAAAATGGCCATATAAATAGGCCTCAAAATGACCAAGAAAACAAAAGACTAAAATGCCCCTTGGGCTACAATAGTGACTAAATACCCATAAGGGCAAAAACGGAAAAAACATAAAATAAAAATAAACTACTACATAAAATGATGAAAATACAGATCATGATCGTGGCCGTCGATCTCCGGCGTCGGCGATGTACACGTGTCGAAATCTGATGTCCCCATCACTGACAACATCAAATCTAAGGCCCAGTTGAATGGATGTAGTGAACACCACAAGGTAGCAGGATTTTTTTAGCATTAAGCTGCCAGGAAGAGGGTGGGCAATGCCTGATATAATGGGAAGACCTACATAAACTGGCTCGTTGGCTACAACATCGCCTCTTAACACAGCAATGCACTATATCTGGCAGCTACATGTCGCATTGCCTCTTTACACATCAAGCACAGATAGGTCCCATATAAAACAGTATGAAACGTGATGTGTCCTCATTGAAACTTGCATTTCCATGAACATAAAAGCGTGGAAGAGTGGGGGAAAAAAAGAGAGAGATTATCAGCTAAGGAATATATAATGATTCTGAACTTGATACAACTCTAATTCAAGGCTTGAACTTGCAAATGCAGGCCTGAATCAGTAATGTTTACAAATTTCACAGAAATCAACAACAATCCATTCCAATCGAGATATCTGTCAATATGGAAATTAAGACAGGTTCAAGTTAAACCCCTTTCTGATATGTGACAAGCAACGGCTCAGGTTTTAGGGACATGCCAGATAGTTGGAATTAGGTCAATGATGACAACAAAGATGAGTGAGCTAAATCCAAAACCCTCCAAATCTGACGTGCTGCAAAACAAGCGGCAAAGCAAAAGCTGTCAACACAGGAGGATGTGATAGACTTGGTTGAAGAAGCCAACAACAATTATTAAGTCCATAAGTCACAAGACTAAGATGTCTTTTTTTAATAATATATGGAACTACCTGGCTGAAGGGAACTAGTTAAGCTAAAAGGAACAAGAGGGACAAATGCTAGAGTAGTAGGGAGATGATTGAAGCAGTGACAAGGGAGACGAATGCAGCAATGAAGGCAACCTGCGGATGGGTGCATCAGCTGATGAGAGAGAGATGCAGCACTACAGCAACCGCAGTGAGGAAGAAGGATAGCAGCAGCGAGAACCAGGGAGACGGAACAATAGAGCTGATGGATAAATATATAATATGCAGATACAGATTTAAATATAAATTAGAAGATAAGTATGTATGCATAAATATTGGCTAGTTACAGACAGAAATACGAGAATGTACATTTTACTCAGACCAGGTTACTAAATTGATCAAATATAGGTCAACCTGAAATCTGAACTCTTAATCTTAGAACAAGAGAGGTTGACAATTAAAGAGTTGTTTCATAAACTCCTAATTGGGTAGAATCTTGTTTGGGCCAAATATGGACACATGGAAACAGGCATTGTTCAACAAATTAAACAAACAATTATCAATCTAACATGAAAAATAAGAAACATTGGTTACATAATGATCAATGGATAATAAATAATAATATGTAATAGGAAATTTATAGTTGCATATCAAAGCAGAATCAACAGTGGTTACATAATGATCAGAAATCATAAATTTTGACACAAATTGATTGTATTAAACAATTCATGCGCAACAATGATGAGAACGAACTATAAAATACTCTAACATGCATCTTTTTCCTTTTTCTTTTTTCCTTTCAAACCTTTTGTATTTAAGGTATTTTAACAGAAGACCTGCCAAACTGCCAACACAAGTAAACCAGAATTTGATAGGCACACAAAAACAGGTAGTGCAAACAAAAGTAAACTCAAAATAGATATAGCACTTCCCTCGTCGAAAATAATAAGCAAAGAAATATTTTAACCTTGGAAGTAATGGAAGCATCACCTGTCCCGCTGATGCCAACAACAGAGAGCCAAACTCCAGCACTTTGTAGATGTCAAAGCTGCAAGGTCCCAAAACAAATCTAGTATTCAAACCATTCTACAAATTCTGACTTCATAATGCTAAAACACAGGAATGGAGCAGTAAAAAACAATTAACTTAACCTGCTTGTTCAAGTGCTATACATTTCTTTGGGTACAAAAAAATAGGATTTATAGCAGTGCATGATCACAAATAAAAACAACTTCAAACCTAACGAAGGAGAGGCCTGATAGATTCTTAGGATGAAAATTTGACAGAAGGAAGCTTATATCTTTCGAAGCATCACCAATTCCAGCTTCTAACATCTCTGATTCGATAGATGCCAATAGTTCCGTAAGAGATGTGTGCTTGACATTTTCAGCTATTGCACCTACAGCATGGGCAGCAGCAACCCTAGTATCCCAGTTCCTGCTCCTAAGGTACTGTGAAATCTACAATAACAGAGAGAAGCATTAACTCTGATAACAAATGATGCTAAACCAGCAAGTAAAGTTCATAAGTTAAGTCACTAATAAATGATAAGGGTTGTCATGATGCTGTCCTATCATGGTTTAGGTATCATAAATCTGACAATAAAAGAATCATATTATCCATCTGATATTTTTTTCTAGAGTGCCATGAAAATATCCAACACGCTGGAAGAATTATTTTCAAGCTATAAACAAACTACAAGTACTAAAAGTGAGACATGGAATTAGAAAAAGATACAATCACACATGAAGCTGTTTATGACTCGCAAACAGAATTATAATGCATCAAATTTAGAACAAAAATCTGCACTGAGATGTTAAGAACTGAAATTATTCCATAGCAGTCAGCAAATTACCTTTTTCAAAAGAGAAATCAAGTCCTGAGGATGTGATTTTGCGATTTCTCCAATCTGTCGTGCAGCTGTGAATCTAGTTACTTGAGTTGATCCAGCTGAATTATGTTAAAGAATTTACAGAAACAACATGAAGTATCAAATTACATTAGTAACCACCTGAAAAAAAAAAAAACATGCAAGAGATTATTCCAAATCCTGATAAATGCTCCAAATCCTGATAAATTTGAATGCTGCGTTATAATGGAGGTGAAAACAATCTTCCAATAACTGCTTAAATGTTTAAGGATACTGTCCAATAAAGTCAGTAGACGGTGTAGGAGAGATGAATGTTGAGCCATAGAGCCAGCAGATAACAGTTTTTCTCATCCAAATACTATGTGCATCTTGACAAGCAACCTCAACTTAACCCATATTCAACCCACTAAAAAGTCCAAGGATTGCTCTTTTGGCAATTAATAGCTTCTGCCCTTCACCACAGCACTTACAAAAAGTTGATCTCAAGCTGCAGCAGCACACTGCATAATAAAGGTCCCTACATGACAATTAACAATACGAGTAAATATTATAAAGAATAATTGATAGTTGCATACTTATGACCTTGTGTGCGTAGAGTGATAGAGAGGGGGAAGGAGATATCTGTATTTTCAAGGTTCCATGTGCTTAACAAAGGAAAGAACTCTTTTTTTTTTCTTTTTTTCTTTTTTTGCTTCAAAATAAAAGGCAATGTGGCACTTCATTGAAATGAATCGTAATCCTACTTTCATAAGCTTTGAAAATAACGCACCAGTGAATATAAAACTCCAAGGTGAGCATGTAGAAAATCTGAACAGCAAGTCAGAAAACTCCACATGAGAACAGCAGGATAGTAATAAAAGGTGGCTAAATAAGAAAGAACTACTGAAATAACTGAAAGAAAAAAGCACCACCAACAATCACCAAAAACACTTAATCAACCTACTTGAAAAAAAGGAAGAAATAAAAAGAGAAGATTGCCTAGCTGAAATTCCAGCTTCACAGCTGTAGCAAACATTTCTACTCTAGCGGTGCAGTCTGCTGGTGAAATACTTGATTCTAAGATACTTCCAAAACAGACTTTGCTTCACAAAATCATTCAAGCTCTCAATTTAATTTTTTTTCAGTAATAGTTGGAGAATAAACTATGAAACCATGTCCAGTTTCCTAAGCATTATTGGCCCCATGCTTACCCAACCAAAGAATGCCAGGTATTTAGGAAGCACAGACAACTATCTGTTCAGCTTACTCTACTATATTACCCTGCAAGTTCTTATCTTTTTCCAACTATAATTTTTAGTTTCATTCCTCTGCACATTGTCCTAATGTCCTTTTGATTGTATGCATGCATCCAATTTTTTTATCTTTGTGCATGTTTTGATTCTCATTATCTAATTATATTAGCTCCTTTTATTTTGTTTTCTGCTTCTTTGTTACTTCTACTAGTGGACGATTTCCAAATCCTGTGCATTACTCCCCAAGGCCCTCCCATTGTCCATCATAAACTCCATCACTAATAACCTTCCTTGAGCCACTCCCATCATTGAAAAGCTCTCCTGATCCCCTCTCGCTATCGGCGGCAACACCCGAACACCACCTTCAACCTAAATCTCCCTTGAGACCTGCCTTGTTCCTTCCAACTTCCTCCGTCATCCATTCCTAGGTCCGACAATGGCAACCTCACTTTAGCCCTAACTCATCGGCAACCTTCCCCACGGCAGCCTTCCCCAAGCTGCCTCCTATCATTGGTGACCTCGCCCAAGCTTGTTAAGTGTACAAGAGAGTGTGTATGAGAGAGTGAGAGGTGTGAAAGAACCTTTTATATATTTGAAATGCATTCTAACAAATGTAAAAAATTATTTCAATGCATTTAATTTGCATCCAATCAAATAACTCATGCACTTATATAATGCGTACATTCTAATTACTCTAAATTTCTAAAATACATGCATTTTAACAACATTGAACCAAACAACCTCGAAATAATCACTACTGGCAACCAAAGCATGTCCAAGAGCTAATAACCCACTTTCCTGATTTTTCAATTAGTTATTAAACATCTTTTATAGGAACTGTAGAGCATCTTGAAAGATCTATCATAGCTAATCCAAAGGCAATCAATCGACTCAGCATCTTCACCTACGCACCAAAGTGATCACATGGATATAATTTCTTTTGTAACATGCCCTAGCACTGTGTGTGCTACAACGTTCTCCAATTCACGTTATTCAATTTCAATGTTTGAAATATTTTCAAGAATCCTTGTGTACAAACATTTTCAAAATGTTGGGGCTCCAAACTTTTCCAATCATCCATGTCCAGCTCTCCAAAGTCCAAAGTTTTGCTCTCTTTTGCAATGGTGGAGCAGTAATAAATTATTTATAAAGCCATAAGCTTATTCCCTTGATAGATGTAAGATTAAGCAAACTTGCTTTGCTTTAAAAGAATTATTTCCATCAATCTCTAAGAAGATCTTCTAAACCAAGATTTAAGCTAAAATTTAGAATGCTCTAAGTTGTTTGTTTATCTAATTCCTCAAGAAAAAGTCCTTAATAGCTAGTTCTAGAATAAACCCTTCTACATAGAGCTTGTTTAAATGATGATGTCTATGACAGATTTCCATAAGGAAAAAAATCATCCATGTTATCTTTCTCAGCATTCCTCCTGCTTAACTAGTTCCTCATAACATGATGGCTTTGATAGAATCCCTAAGGGGGGGCAACAAATGTTCCACGCTATCTTTCTCATTATTCTTTTTACTCAATTAGTTCCTTCTAATTTTCACTTGAACATAATGCTCCTGCTCCATCTCCTCTCTAAATATATTGAAAATTTCTCCTACTTAACCACTTAAATTTATCTTTCAAAAAAAAAAAAATGGATTCTTTTTTTCTTTATCCATGTATTTTAAGGTTCCCAGGTTAAATTATTTTGATAAATTTTTTATGTCCAATCATGGTCCTATGCATAAAAGGCATTAGGATATTGATCATTTACATGAGAAAGAAAATAAATAAAAAATGGCCATCTTTATGCGTTGTTGCAATTATAAGCAATAATAATTATTAATTATGTTTCTCGAATGAATTATTGTGGAATTTTACTAATTGATAAGAAGAATTTTGATAGCTCAATTATCAGGAATTAATGAGATGTAAGAGAACAGAAACTCCTACACTGGATTGCCACACTTATAACCCTACATCAATCCAAGATAACTGATAGATGATAATGCTTCTGGGAAAAAAAATGAGGTATTACAACATATAATGATGTGTTTCATCATGAATTGTTGAGCGACAGACCCAACTGAAGTAAATGGTTACAATTCTTTCTTGTTGCATTGCACAACCAAAAATATCTAAAGCTAGAATGAGTTTACGGAGTTGAGGCTGTGTTAAAAAACAGTCAAGTGCCTATGAAGATAACAAGGAAATTAACAAAAAAACAAAAGATGAAACATGTTATTTGACTAAGGAAAATCATGTACACAGAAGCATAAGGCAATCATTAAACTATTTCCATTAGAAGATCAACTGCAAATCAAAAGCTTTATTGTTGCACTTAGGGGTGGAAATAAGTCAAGACGGCTCATGAGAATGCTCAAGCTCCACTCAATAACAAGTTCAAGAGTCAAGCTTCTCAAGCAATGAGCTCAAACAAAATTTTATTGCTTGATAAATAATCGAGCTCGAGTTTAAGTTAGACACTGCTCAACAAGTTAGCTGGTCCGGTGGCTCAAATAGGATCAGAAGCGGTCTACCTTAATTCAGTTACAACATGTGGGGACTGCAAAGCATAAGAAATATTTCTTTTCTTCACTGCATGGTTCCAGCTAGGGTCGACCATCTACTAAAATTTTTTTTTTCATTTAAATTTAATAAAGAAAGATCATTTCTAATATTTTCTAATCAAGTCTTTTTAGGTCTACCTTTACCTTTCTTAACATAAAACAAATCTAATACCTTAACTTTCCTAACCGGGTCATTGGAAGGCCTCAATTTAATATGACCAAACCAACTAAGGCGTCTCTCTCTAATCTTATCTTCCACTAGAGCTACTCCAACCTTTTCACATATATGCTCATTTCATATCCTATCTCTAAGGGTAAAGCCACTCGTCCACCTGAGCATCCTCATCTCTGCAACACTTAACTTAGTATTATGCTTCTCTTTTAATGGCCAACATTCGGCACCATAAAGCATGCAGGTCTCACCAACCTCTTATAGAATTTTCCCTTAAGTCTGAGGGGGACTTTTCTATCACACAAGTCTGATGCATTCATCCACTTCAACCATCCAACTTGAATTCTACTGATAATATATCCATCTATTTCACCATCACTCTGAACAATAGATCCAAGATATCTAAAATGTGTACTCTTATTAATGACTTTATCGCCTAAAGTCACAATCCCCTCACTAGGTTTATTGCTACTAAAATTGCACTCCATATATTTAATTTTAGATCTACTCAAGCGAAAACCTTTGGACTATAAGGTTGACCTCCATAATTCAAGTTTACCTTCAACTCCCTCTCTAGTCTTATCAACAAGAAGAATATCATCAGCAAAAAGCATACACCATGATAAATCCTCTTGCAAATGTCTAGTGAGAACATCCATGACTAAAGCAAAAAGATATGGGCTTAAGGCTAATTCTTAATGTAATCCAACCGAAATAGGAAAATACTTGGTCAAACCACCTTGTGTTTGAACACAAGTAATAGCTCCTACATATACATCTTTAATGAATTAAATATAAGCGTTATTAAATTCTTTCTTTTCAAGAACTCTCCATAGCACCTCTCTTAGAACTTTATCATATGTTTTTCTAAATTAATAAATATCATATGTAGATCCTCCTTATTCTCTCTATATTTCTCCATCAAACCTCTCAATAAATGTATGGCTTCCATAGTAGACCTACCCGGCATGAATCCAAATTTATTTTGAGAAACATTAGTATCACGATGAAACCTACGATCCATAACTCGCTCCCATAGTTTTAAAGTATGACACATTAACTTAATTCCTTTATAATTCACAAACTCATGTGCATCACCTTTATTCTTAAAAATAGGAATTAACACACTCTTTCTCCACTCATCTGACATCTTTTTAGTCTTCAACACAATATTAAAAAGTTTAGTAAGCTAAGAAATTCCTTCATCTCCTAAGCATTTCTACATCTCTATTGGAATATTATCAGGGCGAACAATTTTTTCACACTTCATTTTCTTTAAAGCCTCTCTAACTTCGGCTTTACTAATACGCCGATAAAAACAAAAATCCACATTTTCATTTATGGTGCTAAAGTCATTAAAATCAATCGTATTTTCACATTCTTCATAAAAGAGTTTAGTCTAATATCTCATCCACCTTAGTTAAATATCATCTTCTAAGAAAAAAACTTTTTGATCTTCATCATTAATACACTTCACTTGAACTAAATCCTTACTACTACTATCTATTTGTTTGGCTAACTTATACATATATTTTTCTCTCTCCTTAGTCCTTAGTATCTAATCTATTATATAAATCATTAAAAGCTAAGTTCTTTGCATCGCAAATAGCTTTCTTAGATTCCTTATGAGCCTCTTTATAGCTTTCCCAATTATCAGAATTTTTACATCTAAACCAATTTTTATAACAAATCTTCTTATTTTTTATTTTTTAGTTTGCACATTTGGATTTCACCACCAACTATTTTTACTATTAAGAGTTTTTCCCTTCGAAACTTCAAGCACATCGTTTGCAATATTCTCAATATCACTAGTCGCTTTTTCCCACATAATATTAACATCCTCAT